AAAGTGCTGTGGAGAAGCGATCGGGTCGAGGAGGAAACGTTGAAGACGTACTAAAGACTCGATGAGGGAGCAGTATTCGTTTCTCTTTGACTAGACACGTATATTTCGGGGACAAAATCCCATTTTACGGAGGGTGAACTTGTGACATCGCACCCCAAATGTATTTTTTATAATTAAATATAATTTATTCGGATTATTCTTAAATAAGTTCAAATAGATTATTCCAGTTGTAATATGTATTATTATGTCAGTAGGTATTGACGAACATAGGGAGCATTGTAATTTAATTAGACCGGGATTTGAATTGATTGGAATAATAATTCATATATGGGACCCAAGCCTATATAATTGTTTAATGAGACCAAAAGCCTTATAAGACTTATGACTACCTTATCATCAATTCATCATCGGCAGAGTACCTCCCATATGTACCAAAAGCCATATGAAAACTATCTCATCTCTATTTAGAAGAAGGTCATTGCGGAGAAGCTAGAGCTCAGACAAAGGCCAAACCAAAAGTCCGAAATGAGGAGGACTTGTACATCGGCATATCCAGGTCACCAGGTGAGATGATAGCTTTATGCCCTAAACTGTGCATCTTATTAGAACCACGGATATTTAACAGTAAACTACAAAGGGTATATAAATATATATGGCTAGAGACCGGATTTCAAACTTGTTATTTTAATTGGCATACACACATGCCATTTAAACATGATCAATAATTTTTATTATTCATATAACTACTCGAGAAGTTCTTTGGTGTTCATTGACTTAGAAAAGGCATATGATAGGGTACCTCGAGAAGTTCTTTGGTGGACCTTAACTAGAAAAGGCATTTCACGCAAGTATATCAGCATCGTCATGGATATGTATGAGGATTGTACTACAAGTGTCCGTACTAGTGTAGGGAGGACAACATAGTTCCCTATTACTATCGGAGTGCACCAAGGATCGGCTCTGAGCCCTTTCTTATTTGCTATAGTCATGGATGAACTTACAAAGTCAATTCAAGATGATATACCGTGGTGCATGATGTTTACCGACGATATTGTATTGATTGATGAGACGCAATCAGGGGTTAGAGCAAAGTTGTAAGTATGACGACAAACATTGGAGAACAAGGGTTTCAGACTAAGTCGGAGCAAGACAAAATACATGGAGTGCAAGTTTGGTGGAGGTAGAAGCAGTGGTAATAGCGGAATTACTCTAGATGGTAAGGAGATACCGGTCAGCGATATGTTTCGTTACTTGGGCTTCATAATTCAGAAGGACGGTGAATTAGATGAAGATGTATCCCATAGAATCAGAACATGGTGGATGAAGTGGAATAGTGCGTTAGGATTTCTATGCGATCAAGGTATGCCGACTAGAGTGAAAGGTAAATTTTATAGGACAACAATTAGGCCAGTATTACTGTATGGTACGGAGTGTTGGGCGGTGAAACAATGTCACATTCAAAAGATGAGTGTGGCAGAGATGCGCATGCTGCGTTGGATGTGTGGGCATACTAGAAAGGACCGCGTGAGGAATGAAACAATCAGACAAAGAGTGGAAGTAGCACCTATTGAAGATAAGATGCAGGAGTCGCGCCTACGGTGGTTTGGTCATGTGCATAGAAGACGACCGAGTGATGCACCTGTTAGACGAGTTGAGATGTGTGGAGAAGAGGCAGGGAAGAGAGGGAGAGGAAAACCCAAACAGACGTGGGTTAGGGGAGTCAGAAGTGATATGCTTCTTCTTGGATTGGATGGGAATATGACTTTGGAGAGGGCAAAGTGGAGGGCGCGTATTCGTGTGGAGGAGTGATCTTGTATCATCCCCCTCCCCCCCCCTTTAAATCCTTTTATCCTTGTATATAAATATTATTATTTTTTCCTTTTTATTTTATCTTTTATATGTATATTCATCTCTTTTATATTATCTTTTTTTTATAATAGCTTATCTTTTTTATCTTTATTTCCTTTCTTTTCCTTTTAGTGATATCATGTATCGATTCATGTTAGCCGACCCTAATATCGTTTGGGACTAAGGCTTGGATGTTGTTGTTGATACCTTTATTACTTTATCGCAAGGAAGAAGTAATAATTATTTTAATTTAACTCCACAACACTTAAAATAATATGGTTAAGGATCATGTTGAACATATTCCAAAAGACATGCTCAGTCTTGCCAAAAGACTGCTTATCAAGGCATATGAGTAATTGAAAGTGTCGTAAAGATTGAACTTTCGTTTAGTACAATGTTCATTACAATATTTCAGATCATAATAGTAGACTAAGATTTGAACTATATAACCTCTTTGAAATATGAAGATATTACACACATAAGTCTTTATACAATTTCTAGCTCTTAGGATATATTTCGGAGTTTGGGGGAGGGAGGATGGGAAGATTTTGAAGGTTAGTCATGAGAGAGGAAGGAAGAGGAAGTGAAAGAAACGAACGTTTATTTTTATTTGGAAGATTTTTTAATCATCAAAACAGAAGGATATATTAAATTAGCATATCCTCTGATATGAGATAAAAACATGCGCCCTTGCAAGAGCATAAGCAACACAATTTGCATACCTTCTACAATAAGAGACAATAAAATTACTCTTGGTTTCTACAGTTTTCCTAATATCATCAATAATAAGATGAAGATAAGAAGACTCATCTCCCTTTTTAATGCCTTGAACAACAGATAAAGCATCTGTCTCAATCTCCACCTGCTACCAGCCTTCCTCCACTGCTGTCTCAACCGTGGTCCATCCGGCCGTATGAGAAGCTCCCAAAGCTTTAACAAAGTCACCAAGCCCAAGCCCTCCTCTTTTTTTCCTCCTTTTTTCATGGTTGACAACTCCATCCACATTAATTTTAATAGCTCCAAGTCTTACCCATTTATCTCTACTATCGCCGGATGACAATGTCTTCTCCACCCCGGTGTCTTGAGCATCCTTCTAGCTAACCAACATTCCAACCGCCGCATTTAACACACAAGTGGTTTCCTATATTTGATTTTTCCAAAACGCATTATTTCTCCTTTTTCCAAATACTCCAAAGAATAGATACAAACTTTATGATTTTGACTTGGGAAAAGTACAGAAAACGTACATGTGGTTTGAGCCATTTTCAGATAGGGGCATGTGTTTCATTTTCTAACAAAGTGGGGCATGTGTTTCAATTCTGTTATCATAGCAGGGGCATGGCGTCTAACGCCGTTAGAAAAATTAACTCCGATTTTAAAAAAGTCTCCGAAAAATTAAAAGAAAAACACTGGGAGGTGCGCCTCGTCAAGGAGATCAACAAACTATCTTTCTCTTTGGATTTTTCGGCTCTATTTGGATTATTTTTTAAAAACAAATTCACTAATATCAATTTTCTGGTGGACTTTCTGGAGATATGGTGGCTGGAAACAAAAAAATAAAGATAGTTTGTTTATCTCCTTGACGAGGCGCACCTCACAGTATTTTTCTTTTCATTATTCGGAGACTTTTTAAATTCGGGGTTAATTTTTCTAACGGCGTTAGACGCCATGCCCCTGCTATGATAACGGAATTGAAACACATGTCCCACTTTGTTAGAGAATGAAACGCATGCCCCTATCTGAAAATGGACCAAATCACAGGTACGTTTTGTGTACTTTTCCCTTTTGACTTTGATTGAACATGTAAAACTTTGTAGTTTTGAATTTAATTTGATTGCACATCCGAAACTTTGTAAAAATTGAGAAGTGCTTTTTTAAGTGGCAGTGTTGGGTAAATAAGTGCTTTTTTAAGCCAAAAGCTGAGAAGTGCTTTTTTTAAGTAGTTGCAAACACTCCCTTACACGGAGTATATGGCTGCGTTAGGTTAAGATAGTTGGGTAGGTTTTACTACCTCCGTCCCCCTAAATTTGGGACAAGAGAATGTGACATGGTTATTAATAAAAGTAGGTTTATGTGGTTGATATTGAATTGACAAAAGTAAGAATAAAGTAATTACTTTATTCTAACTTATAAGAATGATTTAGAATCACACAAACTTTACCAAATAAGATATGGGTCAATCTTAGTGGGACGGGTCGAAATAGGAAAATGGGACAATCATAGCGGGACAAAAGGAGTAATATTTTATGTTGGGTTGGGTTATATGGGCCGGCTGGGATATGTATATGTGCACTTTTAAAAGGCTAATAGGATTATGGTGCTTATTACTTCGGATATAATTTTTTTGATGGTGTCATTATTATACTGGGTAATTATTACTCGATAATACATTACTACTTATTTCTTATTATTAGAATTATTATATTGTTATAATTACCAAATTATTTGTTATCATATACTGTCTCAGTGCAGATAAAGGTTCACGTCTACTACTTCGATTAACGTAAATTCTTCTAAATCTTTTGATTTATATATTAATTTATTTTCAAATTTATTCTTTTGCGGCTTTTTAATATACTTTGGTGTAATTTTTGATATCACCATACTATCATTGTTGTTAACAAGGAAGTGTTTCAAAATGTATGCCCCGTCGTAAACTTTTTTGTAGGGCTGGACATATCGGTTTTCGGTTCGGTTTTTATCGGATTCGGTTCGGTTCAGTTTGGAAAGGGTTGGGAGAATTATTACTAAACAAATACCATACTATTTTTCGGTTGGGTTCGGTTTGGATTAGTTCAGTTTGAGTTTGTTATTTTTTAATTAAATATAAAGAATTTCTTGAATTTCCTTAGTTTGATTCGGTTTTGTTCGGTTTTTATCGGTTTTGGGTCGGTTTGGTTTAGTACGGTTTTGAATAAATACTACCAAACTCAAACCAAATTGTATACAGTCCGGTTTTGGTTCGGTTTTATCCGGTTTGGTACGGTTCGGTTAAACCAAACCATTATGCTCACCCCTGCTCTTTTGTAATACTACCAATCTTCCTTCTTATTCCAAAACACACTTTGTATGAATTATGAGCCGTAATTATTCGATCTTTTCTATTTGCATTCATTTTCACATAAACAAATCATGTCAACAAATAAGATCCTATAACAACTACTTAATCTATGTCCCGTGTATCGCACGGGTGAATATCTAGTAAGTTTAAAAAATATGGCCAAAAGTTGTGATGTTTGATTTACAATACACTAGCTAAACTAGCTAATACTGTCTGTCAAAAAAAAAGCTAATACTGTATAAGCTACGAAAACTAAATGAGTACGTAGTACTCTCTCCGTTCCCAATAATTGTCCCATTTTTTCATTTTTGGATGCTCCATTATTATTGTCTCATACCGTATTTGAAAGAATAAATTCCACTTTTGGTTCTATGAGTTTTAGTTCAATTCCACATTTAGTTCACATCTTTCACTTTGTCCACTTCTGATACATGACTATTGTGTTTTCACCCATATATGGTCCTTCCGGCATTGTTTCCGATGGTTGAAATCCCCGGAAAAGGATACTAACGGTTAAAAAACATTAGTCAAGTGCCAAAAGTGGACATAGTGAAAGACGTGGACTAAAAGAAGAATTGATATAAAACTCGTAGGACCAGAAGTGGAATTAATTCTTGCTTTTTGATTAGTAGTAGGGTAGGTATTTTTGCTTTTTGATTGGTTACTCTGTCGAAAGGTTGTTTTTGTCTTGGTTGGCATGCCATGCACCTCTTCCGTCCCAATAATAGGGGGCGGAGAGATTATATGGCAAAGCAAGCTAGGTGCGGGCAATAATTTGAGTGAATGGGATGTGCAGGAAAAAAGATGGCGGCATGTAGTAGAGTCAGTCAGGTTAATGACACTGTTGGTTCTCAAACTTGGTTAACAAAAGGAGTTTAGTTACAAGATGGCGCAGCCTGTGGGCCCCTGGACCAGGAAGAAGTTTGGTGGGGTCGCCAACCTTGGAACAAGGAGGGTCCCCAGCACACCAACCTCCGGGGGTGTAACTGTTGGTGGTGCGGCCAAGCAGCTCCCTGTCAATCTTATCGAGCAAAGGGTCGTGGGGGCTGAACTTGCGGGCGAAGGGGGCCCCGCTGGCGATCATGTTGGTGGTGTCGTTGATATTGAGGGTGCGCGGGTGTTGGCGCGGGGGGTTGTCCCATGAGATGAAGTGCATGTCGTGGTTGATGGCGGTGGGCACGAACTGCGGGGCATTGCAGATGACGGTCTGGAAGTAACCTTCGGGGGACGAGACAAAGTTGGTGTAGTACATGAGGAGTGTTCTTGGAAGATTTTCCCAGCCCCAGATGCAATACTCCACGAATGCGCGTGACTGCACCATCCAAGCCGAACCTGCATGCGGGTGCAGGGTCAAAAAATGGGGTGCAAAGCCAAATTCTCTTTTTACTTGCTACGTAGTACATAATATATATGTGTACTGACCAGTAAAGAGTCTAAAGGATGTAGGTAAGCCTCTATTTGGTTGCACCCAGAATAAGTCTGATTTGGTATTCTTGTACAACCCTGGATCTATCATCAACGGCGTCCCCCTTCCTACTCTGCAATATAATCACCACACACAAATTTACTGATCATGTTCGACCAATTGCCCGCCCCGCCTTACAAATTAGCTACCATTCATTAATCAAACATGATATGCTAGCTTACGCTTTCCACCCCAGGTCACTTGTGTGCTCTATGAAGTTGTAATCTCTCTTTACATCCGAAAACACATCCAGCAGATCTGCATGATTGCCACCACATCATATTAAAAAAAAACTGGTATAACCAAATCTAAACAATGGATGTTACCTACCTTAGCTTAACTATTACCAGCAGGTTACCAAATCTAAAAATGGCATCAACAATTTAGCGCACAGTTTTATTTAAATTACAAGAGTCATAAGGCTAAGCAAATGAAACAGGGACAAAAAGCTAGCTAGCTAACCATCTTGAGTGACAAGGGGATAATCTGAAGCACTGAGATTGATAAACCAATCCCAATCCTTGAATCTCTTGAGAAGGACAGCACTGGCATGGAGGGTATTACTGACCATGGTTGGCCCTCTATAAGTCACCATATTAGCTTTAGTAATCATATGCACGTTCCCAACCTCCACAAAAACGCCCTCCTTCTCCACCCTCGAGGCGAGCTCCAACCTCTCCTCCACCGACGATTCCAAGTCCAGGTGGATGATATAGTAATTCCTGGGATGGTACAACGTATGTAACACCCTCCACAGCTTCTCCAGATCCCCCTTGGAAGCCGATATCAAGTACGCAAAACGCGGGATCCCCGCGCCCGAACCTCCTGCTTGCTCCTTCCCATTATCCCGCGCCCTTGGCCCGCCGCTGCTGCCTGCAGCAGAGGATGTCGATACGCGGGACGGGAAGATTGAGAATATCGTGTTAGTTTTGTGGTTTGAAGAAAGCATTCCCATGTTGAACAAGTTTATTACAACAATCAAACCAATGATTGAGCTGATGGCTAGTGGCAACACCCATTTCTTCTCCACATTCAGGCTTCCCATCGGATCCGAGACCCTTATCATCATGCCTAGCTAGCTAGCTAGCTCGATCTTGATTAATGTATATAACTACCTACCTCCAAACACGTATATAAGCTAAGCCTCCGGTCTTGATGAAATATTTAAGTACGTATATATATATAATGGGAGCTACAAACCAAATAAACCAATGAAACATCTATTAATTACCTTTTAATGTGAGCTACAATGTTAGTTAGTTATATGTGGAGATGAAATGGTATATATACATGTATGTATTGCCTACCGTAGAGAAGTTTTAGCAAGTTGAGTAGTCATGCATGCATTTTTCCATCCCATGTGTTTTATTTGTATACTCCGAAGAATCTAATCCATACATACATTGATAATTAATTACACAAGTATGGGACATTATTGGCCTCAATTTACCCTTTTCCAAAACTGGCCGGCTATTCTTCACCTATATATGCTAGCAGGGCCGTGGTACCATTCCTATTTTCTTTTCATGATAAATTTTGATTCTTCCTCCACGCATAAGCAGACCAAACCTCCACGCTTTATACTTGCCCGGGCCCACAATAGCTATAGGAGTTTCTATTGACCCGATGGACGGATCCAGGATTTTAAACCAAGGGAGGAAAATCATTAGATTACAAAATGCACCATATCTTGCTACAATGCATGTTTAGATTACAAAGTGTACCATATTTCACAAATTAAGAGCTACCATATTACATGACAAAGAGGCATTCTACACTGGACTCGATCTTTTTAAAGATCAAAGTCGTCAATGAGAGAATCTATGGAGAATCCTTGAGCTAACTCTTTCTATATACTCCTTCCGATCCTAAATAAACCTCACACTTTCATTTTTGGGTAGGTAAAAAATTAACTTCACGCTTCTATTTTTGACAAATGTTTTTATACTTCCTCCGTTCTTTAAAAGTTGCAACATTAGGATTTTTGCACTATTCAAATACTTTACTTTGACTACAATTTTCTAATAGTATATATAATCAAATTATTATGTATAAAATGTTATTAAATTTCTACTAATGTAAATTTCCAAAATATTAACTTTTTTTAATGTTTACTAATACATAATTAAATAGAACTACAATCAAAGTTATGCGTTGACAAACGTGAAAGTCAAACTGTTGCAACTTTTAAAGAACGGAGGATAGTATAAAGTTACTCTTATACCCTTATTTTATTATCTACTTTACACCTACTTTCTCTCTCTCACTACACTTTATCTACTTTTTGTAGGGGTATGCTGGGAAAGTCAAAAACAAAAATTTCACTTTCTTAAAAACCGTAAAATCAAACTATGAAGTTTATTTATCACTATAGAGAGTATATGTCACCATGTAGCTTGAAAGAAAATTGCAGTCCTTTTTGTTCCGAAGGCATGTCTTCATAATTTTCATGGCAAAAAATGATCACTCTATTATTGCAGTTGATATTGGACGAGTCAGTAGAAGGCGACGTATTCTATCAACAAGAGGATCAGTTATTCACTTTCGAGTCTTCGTCATTACTGCACACAAGTCCACAAGTGTTGATGCTTTCTTCAACTCTAGATTTTGTTTAGCATTATATTTGAAATGCCTTAGCCGAATCCTCAAGTGTTCCTTTCCATTGTAGAAAGTTATCACGATAAAATTTGTTCACAAGTTTGCATTTGTACTCAACTTGAAAAGACTTATAATCTTCATGGGTGACTTGGTTGCACAGAGCATATCCCCTCTCATACCTTCAAATAAATACACCTGGAAATTCTATTGCACAATTCTCACCCAGGGATAGAACAAAAGTAAGACCTTCCCAAAATGAAACAATTTTATAAAATGAAATTCATTAGTGTAATTAATAGTTCAATTGGCTCTCATTTGGAAGTACACCTCATTATGTACCATTTTATTATCCTTTTGCACCTTGGTTGTTGCTTGTGTGCATACTTGTGCTGTTAAGTAGACCTCAACAGAATGAGAGATGCACTTGATTCCCAAGGCATAGTAGCTTGAATGCAATGGACGAGAGGTGGGATGAGACATTTTTCTTTACGGATAAGCAGATCAACCATCTCAAAGAAGAAATGGGTTTGGTGGAGAGGGTGCTTCACAAAATGCATAACTGAGTATGGATTGCTCAAAGTGAAATCTATAGAATTAAAATGAAAGCAAAAGAACCGGAAGAGTTCTTGTGTTTTTGTGGTGCATTTATAAATCTTTTGTGTTTGTGGTGCATTTATAAATCTTTTGTGCATATTGTGTGTGTCGTCAAACATCCCTGTGTTGTTCCAGCCACAGCAGTTGTGAAGCCGGCATGCTTGAAAGGATGCATGGAGATTGGAGGGGGCTCATTTGAGGAGGTTGTTCCTGATAAATATAAGGCTGTTTTTACTTGGACTGATTCACTGATCTGGTCGTCTAATAAATATTTTCTCTCTGTGTATTTCATAATTGTCCAAGTCTGGTCTGGGACTAATAATAATCCGAGTAAAAACATCCTAACAACATATTATGATTGTATTATTATACGGGCAAATTGGATATTAAAAATAATTTTATTTATAAATATTTATTTATAAGAATTTCCCTTAGGTCTGGGTCCATGTAGTAGCTGGCAGGTGGAACCGTGGAACCTACAAATCAGCTATACACGCATGTACAAGCCTCTGTATCGCAGCTGTGATGTACAAAATGAATGGTTGTTGGTCTGATACCTAATTGTTTTGCCGGACACAGGCACACATCTCAGACAGTTGAAATGTTGAATCTTCCAAAACTATGCAACTAAAGTCTAAAAGGGTTGCATTTGTTGAACAGTCGTGAAAAAAAAATCAAATATATTTCATTAACATTAAAATATGGATAAAAACATAAAACTGCAACTTCAAAAACATTAAAAACAATAAACATATACTCCGTATCACGTATGTTATACAAATTTTGCACATGCGGGAAAAAAAGTATGGTGTTTGGTGAAAACACTCGTTAACATACAATCACTAAGCAAATTTGCAGATGTTTTTGCCATTATAAATGGCACAAAGGGATACAGCTGCCATGGTTTCAAGATCAGCAAGTCAATAGACATTACTCACGAAGAATCAAAAGCGATTAATGAGAGGTGATAGTAAAATTTTAAGATGTAGCCATGTGAGCTTACACAAGGGTAACCACCACCTTTTCAGAGAAATTCAACTATAAGGATATCCCTAGTTCTGTTGGCCAAGAGGAAAGCCATCAACTTCGAAAAGAACGAAATAAAAAAAGAGCTGGTGACAATAACAGCCTGCTTTACCGACCTCCTCCTCTCTCTCTGAACTCGGCTTCCCTTTCTGCTTTAAGTTTTTCTGCAATTCTCAGGATGGTAGGGTTGTTGAAACGGTCACATACAAATGGCCTTTCTTCTTCTTGTATCTCCTTGTAAGCTTTAGGATAGGGGTTGGGATGTGGTTCCTTCCCTTGAAGGCGTGCTATTTTCTTCAATCGAGCATATGCCTTCTTTTTTGCCCTTTTCTCTGTTTGGTACTCCACCTAACAAAAAATTGAGCAGCGTGCACACATGAGTTTAATCTGGGCAACTATCAAATAATGGTAGAAGGATATAATAAAGTAACACAAGAAAGACCATCATACATCAGCAACAGTTATAGCATCACATTCATCAACTCCTTGTTCCTTCAACTCAACCACTCGACATCCAAACAAACGTGCTGGAGGTGGGTCGCATCCACGAAAGCTATTAAGTATTTAAGATATCAAAAACGATTAAAGTGTATGTGTATGTGTATCCGTATATGTATATGCATATGCAGATAACTAATCTTGTGTGGACCGCCTGACGGGAACTCCCGTCCGACCAAGGCCATTTAGGGTCCTTCCCGGTAGAATTTTTTTATGAAACTTTTTAAGCATGTTCTTCATCAAGTCTAGTTTATTCCCACCATATTTCAGCTAAAAATTCAATCGGGAAGGCAGTTAAATAAATTATTTAAGAACACTGCGCTTTATATATATAACCAGTGCAGTCAAGGTAGTCAAAGTCGAGCGCCTGGGCGCTTAAGCGCACCAGGCGCAGCGCACAGAAGCCTCAGCGCTTGAAGAACGATCAGGCGCACCCCCCAGCCTAAGGCGCAGCTTAGGCGCAAAAGCGCTGAAGCGCAACTGCAATAAAAAGCGCTCGCTGTTTGCGCTTGATAGGGGAACACGTTTTTTTTAAGTTTAATAAGAAGCCCATATTTTTAATAAAGCCCGTCTAAATAAGATCAAAACAAAATATACCTACGCTAAACAACACACCTACGCTAAACAACACACCTGTCAAAATATACCTATTCGCTCCTCCTGTCCTCACACATCAACTGCAGAAATTGGCAGCAGTAAGCTTTCTTCTCCATCGTTCTATTTTCTTTCTTTTTTCTTTTTTCTTTTTTCAGTATCTACTCCTTATATACTCTATACAACTCAAAAGTATATATGTAAACTACCAGTATAATGGTCTGTCATGTGCAACAACACTCTTCATTGTGCCATTTTCTTTGTTCTTTACTTTTTCAGCATCTTTCTTATATAGTTTATACTCTATTACTCTAGATACCTAAAATCTAATTATGTTTTATTTTTCAGTTTGAAAGTTTAAGACTTTAAGTTATGAATTCTGAATTTGGTTGTTTTACTTTTGTGAATCATGAAATTTTTTGGTTAATCATGACTTTATTTTGGTGAAACATGACTCTTTTTGTGAGAAACCTGACTTTTTTATGTAGTTAGTTCAATATGGTGTTATATACATCATGTTTTATTATTGAAGAAGAGTATATGTGATACTTTCTAAGCAATGCGCCTGAAAAAAGGAAGAAGGAAGAAGGAAGAAGGAAGAAGAAGGGAGAAGCAGAGGAAGAAGGGAGAAGAGTATATGGGAATACCCTATCGCCTTGAACGCGCCTCACGACTTTGACTACCTTGAGTGCAGTGTTTTTCAATTACACGTTTGACTGACTTCCCGATTGAATTTTTAGCTGAAATTTGGCGCGCTAAATGAGACTTAATGAAGAACATGCTAAAGAAATCATCAAAAAATCCACCGGGAAGGGCTCCAAAATGGCCTCGACTGGACAGCAGTTCCTGTCGGGCCGGCTTGACATGAACGCTACTCTTTGGTCAATCAAAACTAGTGCAGCAATGCAGCCATAGTAAGCTGCCATATGTAAGGGATTGGAAAAACTACAACTTTCTGTGGGGCTTAAATAAAGTAGCATACAGTAAATATTTCATTTCATATATATAATCCACTTTTTCTCTTTTATTGCTTAATACCTATGAAACAAGGACACCCAAAACAAGGGAGGAATAACTTGTTACAGACATGTTTCCTTTTTAGAAACTACGTGTAGAAACCTTCTTAGAATGTTTTATACCATTTGCTTAGTCTTAACCATGGCGAAAGGATCTCCATCACATCATAGAGTTCCACGCAGAAATGCAAAATTTTGGTTTATGTAGAGTATATACTAAAATGCATATTGAAATGTCATCTCAAGGTGTTCTACCTAGTTAGGATAACAAACTATGTTAACACATCGGAATTGATCCTTAAAAAGTAAGGGTTGACAGCATACTCAATTGCGTCTTCTGATATAGCATAAGGATTTTTCTGAAAGAACTTCTTGACATAAGCATCCTCAGGAAGGGTAATTGGCTTAATTTTATTCTCTGCTCGAGGAAAGGTAGCTGGTGGTGCACTGCAAGGTTAGATTACTTAGAACAGTCTACAAAAATTATCCAAATTTTACATGTACTTATCAGATAGGATTATCTGAAAAACATCATTCATTATAATCACTAAAACTTGAGGCATTGGAAGCACACAAAAATATTTTTGTGAAGCTCAAACTGCATAAAAAGATAAATAATTTGGAGAAATACATAAGAGTGCATACTTTTCCATAGCTTTGAACCACACAGGTTCGGCTTTAGCGAATCCTTTGACGAGTTTTCGGGTTCTCCTTAGCAGATCGCCTTTCATGAATGACATCTACATCAGAAATCATAGAAGGTTTAATAAAATGGCGTGAGGCACGAGGATGGGTTGAAGGAGTAGGTTAGATAAATCGCCCTTCCTCGCTCTTTCCATGTTCCAGTTCGCCCCATTTAGCTCCATAACACAAAAAGTAGAGTTCCCCATAGATCATAATAAAAATAGAACAGAGGAAGAGAATGAAAGAAGATGAAACTAAACACAAGATGTTTGTTCAGAGAGAAAAACGATATGAAAGTAAAGATAAAGGGATGGAAAAAATCAACCTTTGCATAACATGGAGGAAGAGAAGCACTTGCGCAGATTCACTTGCTCAGATTCAGAGGACGGATGAAGCACCACATTTGGCGCAAGGATTAAAACTAAGGTAGGGGTGCGGACTGCGGATTTGGCATGGGCCTGTTCTTAGATGCATGATTTTTTTTGACAGTCCAAATTTTGTTTCACCTTTTTATTAAGGGAAATCACTATTAGAGCATCTCCAATGCTACGATGTGCACGGTGCACATGTGGCATGAGAGAGATAGATATAAAAAAATTGAATTTACGACATTTCTCTCTCATTCTTTCCACGGTTTTATGTGTTTTTGGTAAGTTTTTCTCTGCAATGTCAAGCACAATGTCTACATCTAGACATTGTGCTTGACATTGTAAAGAAAAACTTACCAAAATGATACAAGATCCTTCAAATAAGGAGAGAGATATTCTATTTATTATTTTTTAATTGGCTATCTCCAATGCCACGTATGCACCGTCCACGTTTTAGCATTGGAGATGCTCTTAGCCTCCTGAGTTTTTATTATTTTCATTGTTTGCCTCCCTTCCTTACGTTAATATTTGTTAAATTAAATTTAATATAAATCTTAAATTTAATGAAAGTTGTCTACAAAATTAAATTTTAACGTAAGATAAAATTTAATATCATAAATATAAGTCATTGTTGTTGGTCGTTATTTTTTTTTTACTTATCTACTCGATCATGGAATAAATATTAATGAATGTAGTCAAGAGGGAAGACTCACGAGTAAGATATAAAATATCATGATTTTTTTAATTAAAAAAAAAATAAATACTAGCATCACTTAATCTTATTAAACTAATAATTTTTTTGCGAAGAAAAAATCATAAAAAATAGTAATAGAATTAATAAAAAAAATCAAAATCTATTATATATATTTTAGGTCTTAGATATATTGATAGCTTACAATTATTCCGACCATATATTGAACATTCTACTTTTAGGTTCGTAATTAATACTAGACCAATCTTTTAGGTCATGTATTAATAAAATTCCTTTTTTTCCTTGGTATTTCTTCTTTGCTAAACACGAAAGAAATGTCATTGAAATTAATTCAACTGGATGAATTACAATTTACAAATAAGACTTTTATATTCATGATGAAGAGGTGTCTAGAATTTGGATCACAAGATTTCAAACAACTGTCTTTTATATCTCATGAAAATTATGCAACTCGTGAGTCATCTACCTTAACTACTTTCATTAATATTTATTCCACGATCGAGAAGCTAAGTAAAAAATAACAATCAAGAACAATGATTTATAATAATGATAATAAAATTGTATTTTACTTTAAAATTTAATTTTATAGACAATTTCATTGATTTTAAGAGTTATATTAAATTTAATCTAACAAATATTAACATGATAGGGCATATAGTGAGAATGATCAAAGATGAGGGGATAACTAATTGACTTTTGTAAATGCAAGGTTGCATTAATAATTATGACCTAACCTCAGGAGGTTAATAGTAATTTTCACTTTTTATTAAAGTTGTTCGAGGCTAATGTCTGATTAATTTTTTGAAAGGAATTTTATGCAAGCACACTATAAAAATAGGTTAGCTATCAATCAAGAATTTGAAAGATGAACATAGTGGATATAAATCTCAAGTAATTAAAAACTATCAATCTAGGACCTATAAGTCAAGAATATTTTTTTTGTTTTTTTATCTTTTAAATATTACTTAATTTTATTGAAGTAAGAAATTTTGTGAAGAAGAAATTTTCAAAAATTAAAAATTAATTAATTAATTAATCAAAATCTATTACTAGTATACTTTAGGTTTTAGGCTTTCAATCATTCAGACCTCATATTGATAATTTTCACCTCTTAGATGCTTGGTTAATAGTTAGTCTATCTTTCATGTTCTGATTTATAAAGTTCCTTCCTGAAAAACTAACCACGACTTATACATTGATTCACACGTTCTTAATATGTAGTATATATTCATCCGAGGTTAATGATGACTCATTCTCATGTGATCGTTTGTTAAGGACACATCTTGGATCTAGCCGCTTATTTATGTCGGGTCAGTCTTCACTTGTCACGTATCATCAAAAGTCTCTCGTAGGGGTTAAACTTGGGAACTTTGAATCACAAAGTTTCTAATATCTCTCTTCTCTTCACTCAACTAGATGTCATTAGTTTGTCTATTAATTTAGAGGGTACATTGAATTTAGCAAAGGAGACTTTTAGCAAAAAGTATACTTAGAAAGAAAAGTTGACAACTAAAACACACACAACTAATTTTGACCACTATGTATACATTTTATTTAATACGTCCAAGTTAGATTTAAAGATCGTAAATTTATTATTTTGCCTTTCGAGCAGCAAAACACTAATACGCTAAGATGCTAAATAGATGCCTAAATCACCCCACCCCTTTCACTTCTGTTGTCGCCACCACCTAGGCCGCTCTGCCTGCCACCATCACCCAGATCACTAATGCGGTAATGACGTAGTCAGCACTACTAAAACACTAAATTCTAAACTCTAAATGATACGAAGTAAAATCTAATCCTAGAAGGGCTAACTAGACTCTCAAAGTGCTAAACTAAACACTAGAATGGCAAACATGTGAAAATCTATTTAAGAGGACCTCTAGGTAAAAACAAACTAGAAAGAGGTAGGGGTGGACACGGGTCGGTAGGGTCAGGTAATCTTAAAAAAGTAGGGACCGCCGGTTCGGGCCGGGTACATGAATTCTCAAAGTAGGAACCAATCCTTACTGTTTGAAATGGGTAGGTTTAGTCCGGGTTTTCGGGTATTGAAACACATTAAAAACCTTAATAATAACACATAATTCAGCATCCATTTCTTAATAATAAACTTTAGGTTAAAAAAATAACTCATCTATAAAACTTTTCAATAGCTAGGGACATCCACAATGGGAGAAGCAAGAATAATAAACGTGTTAGGCATTTAGGCTTTGTTGGTGTAACTCTAAGGAGTAGGAAATAGAGTATAGTTCAACATTTCAGCAGCAGTTTCTTACTTTCCTCCTCCTAGCCACATGATGGTTTTCTTTTTTCTTCTTCTTTGGTACTAAAAGGTTTCCTCATTAAATGAACTATTTATCTAGATTAAACAAAAGAAAATGAACTATTTATCTAGATTAAACAAAAGAAAATCGTATATATACAAATGCTAATGGTTCATGAAACTGAGAAACAAATAAAACTTGAGCAAAGAACAGAATATTGTACTTTCTAAGCACAAGCAGGGTTTTAAAGCCTTTGAGGGTAGCAAAGACAACGGAATCAGGTTGAACAGTGATGGGTAAGGTAGGGTTAAACAACTTTGGGTTCAAAGTGGGAATATCATAGTGTTTTGCGATCTTCAATGGAGTTCCATTTAGCAGAAAAATGTGAGTTTGAATGTTCCCTCCTTATGGGGCCAAATGGTATTCCTCCCTCTCATGCATATTGTCAACAAGTTATCATAGAAAGCACAATATCAACCACAATTAACTCAAATTGTGAGAGACTCTCTCTCTTTTATGAACGAATGAAACCACCAGTAGAGCATCTCACTCGACAAGTCGACATCAACTCAGTTCAACCCTTGATTCTTCAACCAACTCAAGTCCTACCTAATCCCCAAAGCCTCCACCAGATGCTGCATCATTCACCACCACCCCAAACCTATTCATCATTCCCCACCAAAAGTTGCATCAATGTTAACTTTAAACGCCCTGCCTCCGTCTTTCTCCAAGTCCTTAACTCGCCTTTGCTCCCTCTTCATAATCCACTCATATGTGTTGCTCGCCACCCAATAAAGATTGACTTTGCTTGAGAAATCAACTCCTCCATGCCAGACTTTTGAGTTTCGGAAATCCCAAATACTTCATTAGTAATTAATATATTTGCAGCATTGAACTGACTTTCATTCTGAGATGAGAAGTTTCGCTCAACTCATTCCAATAGTGGCTGTCCTCAATGGTGGGGCCCGAAAATGATTCAGGAGGTCGAAACTTAACTATATATAGAATGAAAATGGTGGATCATTTTTTATTGGGCAATATATACCTAGTTGAAAGTTTCATACATATCTTAGATAAACGGTAGTTTAAAATGAGACTAATGAAAGTTATAGATTTGGTATATATGTCACATACGAAGTATATTATAAACTTGTTCTATACGAGTTTAGTCAATGGTTTTCCGCATTAGTGGCTCATCGGATGGGACCCTTTGTCTTACGCTGGAACTCTATAGTTTCCCTCTCACCTGACAATTAATCTCGGAATTTTCAATCAGAAAAGAATCGTCTATTCAGTAGACACTCATAGTAGTAACATAAGTTGTGTTTGCTCTGTCCCTGAGTTGTGTCACATAACTAACGAGCGAATTATACGTTATTGTTAAAATTTGGGAATATAGTCAATATTATGCATCAAATTTTACTAATTTTAAGTTTAGAGAGTGTTGATTTTCCAGAAGTCATAATTGTTTACTCGTAATGAGTTATAGAAGCCATAATATATCAAATTGAAGGTATTTCAGAACTTTATACTCTCAAGGTTTAAGGGGGTTGGCTTACCACCCTGACCCCCTGGTTGTCCTGGACCGAAACTAGAAAACCAATCCAACTTTTTCCATAAATCAATCGTCCTATCAAGAGTCTCAGTCTCTGCACAACCAAAAGCACATTGGTGCGGAATTTCAACCCTCTTTTCATGTGGTTTTTTGCTGTAAGTATATTGCCATTGCACAACTGGCAAAAAATGTTTTAACTTTTGGGGGAATATAAAAGTTCCACATCATACTCCACCCACCCACACCCGGTTAAATTCCCCCACTAAAAAATCTATTGCAACTCCTCGCTGAATAATTTGCATCTTACTCCCAAGCCCAAAAAACTCAAGCAAAAATAATTCTCTTACCGATTGGAATACTTTCTATCAACTCTCTATCTATATATCCCATAGACGCTCTTCCGAGTAAAATAAATCTTCCACGTGACACTGTTCTAAACTGCTCACAAGGCTTTTCTAAATCCTCCGCTTTACCAATTTTTCATCCCAAATGTATCACTATTACGACATATTTTGCCTCCTAGAAACTTCTCCATATGTTTGAAGGATTCATTCCTATTCTATATTTCCAAAGAGAAACCAAC